CCGGCAACCAGTGTTTTCTCACTGCATATGGCTGTGGGTCAAAACCAATGGGATCCCATTTTCGGGTAGGTGAATTCACCACCCATTTTAGTCACTGGGGATAAGATTTGGATTTTGACCCATGGCCTAAGCTCAAGAAGCATCCCTAACACAACCTGACTAGTTACCCAAAAGAACCACAAACAATATTTGCAATGCGCAAATTCGGCTGTCCGCGTCTCTTGCAAAACCTACAACTAATCGTTCGGTGGGATTTTTTTCAGCCCAGCCCCAGGAGCCAAGCAGCAAAGGAGCCCAAAAAGGACATACCCCAGTGAACGTCCTGGGAGAGTTCCCAGGCCCTTCCTCAGGTCACCACCAGCTTCTGAGCTTGCTCCTCCAAGGACAACCCCCCGCGCTCCATCTCCTTCCATGCGGACCGGAAACGCGAGCTCCGGCGTGCGAGAAGGAAGTTGGGCATATCGGACTTTAGTTGACTACATGGGCGAGCCTTTTTTGAGGGTACCCCATGTTCCGGGGCATGCCTATAGGGTACATGACAGGGCTGTGGGAAATGGAATCCACTTCTGTGATACAACAAACAGGGCTTCTCAAAGACTAACTGCCCATATAAAGGGGGAGATTCCCAAAAGTATCACAGAAGTGGGAATACCCCCCGAGTGATCCCACAATCCTGGTACGTAACATCAGGAGCTTAGGACGCAATACACATGCACAATGATCACAAGAGCCCAGGATTTCACGCCCCAACGCCGACCCATAATCCTTCCCGTGGGTTGCGATCGGATGTTGCGGGTTGTACCGGATCCTCCTTTGTTTGCACCTGGCTTCTTGCGGATTCCCCCAAACTTCGGTCGGGAAGCCATGGAGCCCGTTTGCGCTCTCAACCCTTTGTTTACCTGTGAGGAAAGAAAGCCGCAAGGTCCCGGACCTTAGGGGGCTTGTGGAGCTTTTTCGTGGTGAAACACTGCCAGGTCTGGGTTTGTTTGTTTTTGGGGGACCCCCCAAAAGGAGTGGTGGACCCTTTAAAGCCACCAAAGGCTCCAAAATGGGGAGATAGCTGGCAAACGTCGACAAGGGGTGCCTGACATCAGGCCGCGTTTTCGACTGACTTGTTTAGAGCTATCTCGGGAAGTCCAACTTGATAAAAAGCGCCAACCATCCGCCGTTGAAAGCGCAAACAACCCAAGGGTTTTTGTATTACACCCTGGGAATACACCCACCGGGTGTTGACCCCATTTAGGCACATGTCCGGATAAAACCATGTTATTTTGAGCCATTCAGGGTCATTTCCCAAGGGTGTAATCCCAGGGTGTAACACAAACACCCTCAGAAACAAGCAGTCAATTCAGCGGTTCACTTGTGCACAGCAGAAGTCCAAAGATCCACGCCAACTGCGATAATCCACTCCTGCATAGTCATAGGGTACCCGCCCCAAAAAAAACTGTTTCTGCAGGAATCCCCTCTTGGGCATTCTTTTGGGGTTCTATGCTACTGCTGTCATCCCTCTCCGAGATGTGATTAGGGCATTCGACCGGTAAGTCGGAAACAAATGTGCCATGGGATCACCAGCAAAGCCACCGCCGTCTTCCCAAGAACTCCTCCAACTCTGAAACCAGTTGGCCCCCAGTCTCAAAGAGGAGATCCACCAAAAATGGCCGATGTCCTTTTAAGGCATCCGTTTTCAGCCCCCAAAACGGCGGGGAGCTTCCCCAAAACGGCGGGACACGCGGGTGCCTCCAGCTGGACCCAGAACTCCGCGAAGTCGTCGCCTGGCCAAGAAAACCGCAGGGGCAGGGCTCAACAACGCGGCATCCTTGTGTGTGAGGTGTGCGCGATGTTTTTTTGGGGGTACCTTCTTTTGTGGTTTTGAAGGCAAAACCAAACAAAACACACATTTAATATTTTTTTTGGGGGGTCCCCTAAAAAAACACCCTGACGTGGTGGTTGACCGCTTACAAAAGAAAGAATCCTAACTACGTGAGGCGTCGAATGTCACGGGTATTCGGGCCAGGCACGTCTCTGAAGAAGAACATGGCCCTTTTCGCGTTACCAAAGTGGCCAAGACTACTCTACGGCTTTCCAGAAAGTAGCCCAAAGCCCTACTTCTGACTCCAAGCACAGCGAACTTCATCCCTTGTCCGCCAATAAACGTAGAAGCAACAGCAATCTCCCCTAAAGACTTGCTTCAGCTGTTGCACACATTGCGATGATTCGCAAAGTGTGTATTTCCAAAAATGAGGGCGACCCGAAAAATGGGTGGGGTTTCCATTGCCCACAAAACAGGTGGCCTGCAAGAAATACAGCTAAACGGAACTGGTTGATCCCCTCAAACGGTAGCCCGCTTGGGCCCCCCACTTTGCTCCGACTCGGATTTTTCCAGGGCCTGGGCCGACAGTCGGAACTCTCCATGTCACCTTTGAACATCAAAATCGGAAGGCCTCCATTTGCAAAGGGACAGCGCATGATCAGACCAAGGTAGTCATTCCACAGCACAGTTTCACGTTACAGACGGTTCAGAACGGCGCAGGATCAAATCAAGTTGCGGCTGCCTTCGGTCGGTGTACAATCACGTTTCATACCCCTGCAGGTCAGGTCAGGTTACAGTCGCCTGCAGGTCAGTTTCATGTCAGCTGCAGGTCAGCATGGGGGCAGATCAAGTTGTAGTAAACTGCAGGTCGGTGTATGGTCAGGCGAAGTTACGGTTACCTGCAGGTCAGTTGTATAACACCTGCAGCTCAGGGTCAAATAGGGTCAGATCAAGCGGTCACTTGCAGGTCAGGTCAAGTTGCAGTCGCCTGCAGGTCAGTTTCATGTCACCTGCAGGTCAGCATCTACCCAGGTGAAGTTACGGTTGCCTGGAGGTTAATTTCATAACAAATAGGGTCAGATCAAGCGGTCACCTGCAGGTCAGGTCAGGTTGCAGTCGCCTGCTGGCGAGTTTCATGTCACCTGCAGGTCAGCATGGGGGCAGATCGAGTTGTAGTAAACTGCAGGTCGGCGTATGGTCAGGCGAAGTTACGGTTACCTGCAGGTCAGTTGTATAACCCCTGCAGCTCAGGGTCAAATAGGGTCAGATCAAGCGGTCACCTGCAGGTCAGGTCAAGTTGCAGTCGCCTGCAGGTCAGTTTCATGTCACCTGCAGGTCAGCGTCTAGCCAGGTGAAGTTACGGTTGCCTGGAGGTCAATTTCATAACAAATAGGGTCAGATCAAGCGGTCACCTGCAGGTCAGGTCAGGTTACAGTCGCCTGCAGGTCAGTTTCATGTCACCTGCAGGTCAGCATCTAGCCAGGTGAAGTTACGGCTGCCTGGAGGTCAATTTCACAACAAATAGGGTCAGATCAAGCGGTCACCTGCAGGTCAGGTCAGGTTACAGTCGCCTGCTGGCGAGTTTCATGTCACCTGCAGGTCAGCATGGGGGCAGATCGAGTTGTAGTAAACTGCAGGTCGGCGTATGGTCAGGCGAAGTTACGGTTACCTGCAGGTCAGTTGTATACCACCTGCAGCTGAGGGTCAAATAGGGTCAGATCAAGCCTCACCTGCAGGTCAGGTCAAGTTGCAGTCGCCTGCAGGTCAGTTTCATGTCACCTGCAGGTCAGCGTCTAGCCAGGTGAAGTTACGGTTGCCTGGAGGTCAATTTCATAACAAATAGGGTCAGATCAAGCGGTCACCTGCAGGTCAGGTCAGGTTAACACTTGCAGGTCAGCATAAGGGCAGATCGAGTTGTAGTAAACTGCAGGTCGGCGTATGGTCAGGTGAAGTTACGGTTACCTGCAGGTCAATTCATAACACCTGCTGCTCAGGGTCCAATAGGGTCAGATCAAGCGGTCACCTGCAGGTAGTTACATGTTACCTGCAGGTCAGCGTCTAGCCAGGTGAAGTTACGGTTGCCTGGAGGTCAATTTCATAACAAATAGGGTCAGATCAAGCGGTCACCTGCAGGTCAGGTCAAGTCGCAGTCGCCTGCAGGTCAGTTTCATGTCACCTGCAGGTCAGCGTCTAGGCAGGTGAAGTTACGGTTGCCTGAAGGTCAAATTCATAGCAGATAGGGTCAGATCAAGCGGTCACCTGCAGGTCTGGTCAAGTTGCAGTTGCCTGCAGATGAGTTTCATGTCACCTGCAGGTCAGCGTCTTGCCAGGTGAAGTGACTGTTGCTGAAGGTCAATTTTATAACAAATAGGGTCAGATCAAGCGGTCACCTGCAGGTCAGTCGCCTGCAGGTCAGTTTCATATCACCTGCAGGTCAGCGTCTAGCCAGGTGAAGTTACGGTTGCCTGAAGGTCAATTTCATAACAAATAGGGTTAGATCAAGCTGTCACCTGCAGGTCTGGTCAAGTTGCAGTTGCCTGCAGGTGAGTTTCATGTCATTTGCAGGTCAGCGAATGAGGGGAAGTTGCGATTACCTGCAGGTCAGTTTGACAACACCTGCAGCTCAGTGTCAAATACGTGGAATGAAATGCGGCGGTCACCTGCTGGTCAGGTCAAGTTGCAGTCGCCTGCAGGTCAGCTTCATGTCACATGCAGGTCAGTGTATGGGCAGATCAAGTTGTACTCATCTACGAGTCAGTGCACGGTCAGATGAGGTTACATGTCAAGTCAAGTTACAGTTGACTTGCAGGTCAGCTTCATGTCACATGCAGGTCAGTGTACGCGCAGATCAAGTTCCGGTCACCTGCAGCAGTTGAGGTCAAGCCACGGTCACCTGCAGGTCAAATTCGAAAAGGTCAGTTTCATAACACCCGCAGCTCAGGGTCAATTAGTCTAAGACACCTGCAGGTCTGGTCAAGTTGCAGTCGCCTGCAGGTGAGTTTATGGGCAGATCAAGTTCCCGTCACCTGCAGGGTTGGGGGAAGTTGCGGCTACCTGCAGGTCAGTTTCAGAACGCCTGCAGCGCAGGGTCAAGTAGGGTCAGATCAAGCGGTCCCCTGCAGGTCAGTGTACGGGCAGGTCACCTGCAGCGGTTGAGGTCCGGCTACGGTCACCTGCAGGTCAGTTTCAATCAGGTCAGCTTCATTTTACCTGCGGGCAAGAGTATGTTCAGATCAAGAGATAGTCGTGTGAGAGCGTTTTGTGCTGCTCAGGGCCAGATCAAAAATGTACACATCAGTGTGTTTCATTTTTGGGTCATGCCCCAGATCCTGCTGTAACTCACACAGCGTGATTTCCCACAACTATGGTTGCGGGTTTTCCTGTTTGTGTCCCTTTAAAACCGATACCCTCAAGAAAGACACACCCAGATCCATTTAAACCCTCCCCAAATCCAGGGAAGATGCTTACGAACAGTTGACAGGGATGGTAGTCCGGGAGGTCTTCCCGCTTATCCGGCTTGAGTTGGGACCATTCCCAATACACCCGTACAACCTCTGGAATTTGAATGGACCTCACGTGTAGTTTTGTTTAAATCCCCCCAACCTCCCCTTGGTTGCTCGTTTGACTGAAGTAGCCTGCTTGACGATTTGAGGAATGTTCACTTGCAGGGGCCTCTCAACATGTTTATTTCCTAGCGTCAATGAGCGTGTGTCTGATCTTTACTTACTTTCTGTGAGTGGTCAAGGGATTCTCCGTCAGAGCGACAAGTCGTGGAGAAGGGAATCGAGAGAAGGGCCGATGACTGAAAGGAAGGCGCAAACCATGCTAGCTGTGTGTGTGTGTGCTTTCTATGCTGCCAGTGGCCAGCCTTCTGACTACTTTGCCATTCCAAAAAAGATCCTTTGCTGTTGCCCCCCGAGCAAAAGGTCGATCACCTTTTTGCGGGTTTTTTAGGAACCCCACTTGGGCATGTCGCTTTTAGGGCCCAAACTGGGGGGGGGGCCCTCCAAAAAAAGCCACCAAAACTGGGAACCCTCGAAAAAAACAAAAAACTCTTGACCTCCACCCCCAGACCTCCGGCTTTCTGGGGACTCCCGGCCAGCTGGGCGTCGGTGGAGCAGTCGCTGTCCGCCAAAAGCTCTGGCTTCTTCTCCTCGAGGACCGCATCCGCAGCAGAAAGCAACATGTTCAAATGCTTCAAATGTTGTCTGCCCGAAAATAAACAGGGTCCCATTTAAGAGGGAGTCCTTTCCTATTTGAACGGAAACTCCCCCTGACAAATCCACCAGGTTGACTACTCCGGGGAAATCGTGACACAAAGTGAACGTCGGATGATTTTTTGACGATCCTTCTAGTCAGAGGGTTCTCTCCAAGATCCACCCCTGATCAGTATCTCCTCTGAATGAATCCGAAGCCAATATTATAACCTTAGCATGTGGTGGCTATATTAACAACTGTGTATACTGTATACCCCGATTTGCCTCGGGGGTAGTGGTTTGAGGGTGGGAAGCCATCTCGCATGTGGGCGGTGCAGACTTTACGAAACGCGTTGTTCGCGTACTGGGGCCGAAAGGACCTGGAATTTACAGGGATACGTATATATATATATATACATTGACATGAGGTATACAAGCCAAGCTAATATAAGTATGTGGAACAACTGTCACATAATGCAGTAAGGTGCTGCCAACACCTCTGGGAGCTCCCAAAAGATGATTCTTCAAGGAACCAAGAAAGGACAATTGGGCCTTTCTAGCGAGCAGACCGGCCACGGTGCCCATCTGGCACCGAAACAAGTCGGGCCAAGTTGGTCGGAAACTTCAGCTTCCCACTGATCGGTGGTTCGGATTGGTGGCTCGGTGGCAGGGAGGGTACCAACCCAAACCACCGATTAAGGGATCTGTGCCCTCCAAGTTTCTACAGTAGGATGATATCAGGCAGCTTCCCCGGTCAGCAACTCAAGCGCTAAGTTCGCAGTGTGAGCCGAGGCCAAGCACTGGCACCTGCAACCTGTTTGTTGGGCCTTGCACCCTCAGGGGCAAATTTGAAAAACAACCAAAATTGGCCCCCAAAAAATACAGAGATATCACCAAGCCAAGGAAGGTGTCCACAAATATCACTTTCTTCCCTAGGGAGAATTGGGTAGCCACTGCGCATTGTGTATACCGCCGAGTCCGCCAGGATGCCAACCCCTTTCAACATGTTGAAACCTGGTATAAAAAAGGCTCTACCCGGAACCATGTAAGGAAACTAAAAGGCGGCTGCTCCCGTTTCTGGCTACTGCCCCTTACTAACCTTCATCTACCCGGGTTTTGAGCAATTGGCTCGATTGTTGCCTTTAAGCAACCTCCTTAAGATCCCTTAAGGCTTCCCAAAGCGGACCTGGTTAAACAAAAAAACTGTGACCAACCGCTGGGGTCGCGGGCTGTCAGCTCGGTGCTGACCTGGCGACGCGATGGCAAGCGGTTTTCGCTTTCCAGGGGCCTGGCACGCCAACTATAGGCTCCCTCCGGCGTCCCTTAGATGGAAACTTGAGGGTTACCGAAAATCCAAATTTCCTAGGCTGTTTCTATTTTTTCTGGCCCTGGAAAGTGTGGGTTTCTCGCATAGTGAGGAGAATTTGTGTTCCAAAAACAAGAGGTTTTCTTTCTGGGTTGCTTATGTTTTTCTAGAGAGACGGATCCCTGGAAAGAATGGCGAACAGACCCCTAGAGTTTTGGCTGAGTGTTTGCTGACTTGACCGAACAAAGAGTTACCAAGCGCCAACCAGCCAAAAGTGAAACCAGGCCTGGATGATGTGAAAGGGGGAGCCATAAGGGTACCAACCATGCGTCAAACTATGTTCGGACTCCCTCACACCTGAGTATCTCTGCAATGAGCCATTAGGCCGTGCCTTGGCGCAATGACTTCTACGGTCTGTGCCTACTGACGACATCCACCCGTGCGTTCCATGTGCATCGGAGAGTAGAATGCCTGACTGAAACCTGACTGGGGCGTCTCCCTGAACTGGCAACGCTTTTTTTTCCAGCCAATCAAATACTTTCCATAAGACAGACAGGGCTCTTTTCCGGATCCAATTTCGAACTGGGGCAAGCTGGGAGCACACACACGGGCACCTCAAGAAATCTCCTGCGCAACACGGAATGTTTACAAGGGTCCCTCAGACGAAGATTCCTCTACAAAATGGACCTCACTAAAATTGGTTCTAAAATGGGAGGTGAATTTTGATTCCCAGACTGAAACCAGCGGTTCGCTGGCAACAAACGCCCCCCCCCCCCGCACCTGTGGCACTCCATCAGCCTGCCGAAGCAAAGAGCCCAAAGGCTCGTGTCTCGAAGGCGGCCTACCTCAAAACGTTTTACTCAAATGGCTGTGGTTGTCAAAACCGTTTTGGGATCCCATTTTGGGGTAGGTGAGTGAATTCACCACCCATTCTAGAACCTATTTTAGTGGGGATTGGGATGTTCACTGGGGGGTACGGGCTTTTCACCCATGGCCAAATACCAGGGCTTGGGTTGCAACATGGAAAACCCGGAACACACCCTGATTGACTTTCACCAGGCGCCGATCCTACGGTGGATGGACGAAATCCATTTCGCACCAGTTTGAATCCATGAAAAACCATTGTTTGTTGGTATTCACACGGGATTCATCATTCCAGGTCTTCTTAGGTGGTGCAGGATTTCGCCCATCCACTGTATTTCGGAGAATCACTGCAAAGGGTGAGTTGCATCTTATTTAATCTGCCAGGTTCATCAATCCAGAATCAACATTCTGTTCTGCAACTGTGAAGGCTCACCATCCCTCCTCATTTTCCCCCTCCGCAGCGCTGTTGTCCAAAACTGATTGTGTCAGCACCAGCTTTTTAACCTTTTAAGGCTTGCTTTTAACCTTGAGAATGCTTTTGACCTCAGATGTGTGTTTTTCAAACAAAAAAAACATGTGCAAATCTCTTAAAAGTTCAAAGTGCCCCCAACCAGAAACGCCGCCGAGTTCACCCTCCACTGTTGCCTCGGGTAGTGACTTGGTTTTGCCTGGCCTTTGATTTGGGGGTTGATCAAACGGTCTGATGAACATGACCATTGGATGGAACACCCACTAAAACGATTTGATATCTTAAGCGTTAAATGCCGGGGGAAGTTGCCCATCCTAACCCATCCTAAATGGAATAGTGATCACCCCCATTTACTTACCCAACCCTTTTTGAAAGTCCAAGCTGGCAGAAAAACCCTCGAACCCCGGCCTCAAAGGGTTTGCGGTTCATCACCGCCATCATTGCCTCCAGGGCCGCGTCGTCATCCAAGGCAGCCGCTTCTGGCGCGTACGCCGGAGAAGACGCTGCCTGGCTGAAGATCGGCCCCAAGACTAGGGTTATTGCTTCCATTTGCCCTGGGAAGAATACACCTGTTTCCAGTAAATTCCCTTGAAAGCCAGGGGAAAATAACAATAAACACGAGGAAATGGAAGATCATGACATTAGTTTGACGCTTTCTGGGGGTGAGCAACTGAAGATGGCTGTTCCCTGTAACCTACGACTTGGGGCGGTGACGTTGACGATGGAAAATACTGAGGCCAGCAAATGCAGCTAGGTGAGCTATCCAAAAAAGAAGGATCCCAAAAATACTCAACTCTTCAAACTACCATGTCAGCAACCATCATGGGTCACTTGCATTCCAGCAATCCCAGAAAGTCCCTTAAGGCCAACTATCCTCTTTGCAACTGCAGGCTCATATTGAATGTCCCGCTTTCGGGGGTACAATCTAGGCATCCTTGGTGGGGGTACAAGACATTTGGCCCTGGATTCACCCCCTGGATGAATATCAAGATGCGCAACTTGAAGCGGGATCCTGTTGTATCACTTTTGGCGGAACCATCCCCAATTCATCTGTCAGATTAGCAACACTTCCGCGCACGAGAAGTTGAATAGGTATTCGTGAAGTTCAACTGCGAATAGCTCTTCAGCACTGATGCAAAAGCTGCTTTTCGGGGCTGAAGCATAGACATGTACTCCTGATCCCCCCAAGTTTTGGTGGGGATTTATTTCTTCCAGGGGGTCGGGCATGCTGATTCCCGTCTCTCTCAGTCGGTGCTCTCCAATATGCTAGGTCCCCCACGCCGCAGATGGCGGGTTGATTTCCAAATACTGCAAGTGCAAAACCACAAAGCTCTGATGAATTGCGGTACACTACAGGGTTTCCAAGTTGCTTCCTACCTGCACCATTTATGGCCTTGTCTCCAAACAACCCCAGAAATGGGTTTAAGCTCGGTTTCCCTCTGGCTTCCCTTTGGCAAAGAAAACCCCAAATAGACAATAGCAAAAACAGGACTTTTGACTGAAACCAAATATGAGTATGTCTTCTTGCAGGGTACCTATTTTGGGGTTGTTCGAAATTGGGAAATCAATGGGAAACCAAAGCCCTTTGTAGGGGTTTCCCAAGCTTGAGACAACCCCCCGCGTGCCTCATAGTCCAGCCACGTTTCCTTGAAGAATTGGGATGCCATCAGTGGAATCAACCAAGAGCCGGTCCAAAAGCTTCCCTCTTAAACGACCGCAAGCCTTCAAAACACCACATAGCTATGTATCTGTCCAATTTTAAGGGATGGTTCAAAGAGAAACCAAAGGGAAAGCAAAGGGCAAGCAAAGGGCAAGAAAAGGGGAGACCAAAGGGAAACCAAAGGGAAGGCAAAGGGAAAGCAAAGGGGAGACCAGGGACACCAAAGGGGAAGCAAACGGAAAGCAAAAAGCAAGCAACGGGAAGCCAAAGGAAACCTGATCGACCATGAACCTTATCTCGCCTCGGGTTCGCTCGCCATCATGGCCGCCAGGGCCGCCGCGTCGTCGCCCTCGAAGGCGGTAGCAGCTGGCGCAGGCGCCGCCTCTCAGAGCTCACGGGGACATTCCTTGCATGGATTTGGGTAGACCACTTTAATACCGCATGAGGACAAAAGAAAACAATGGGCTCCCACAAATCATTGGTCACTGGTCGTTTCCCCAGAATTGATTGCTCCGAAGTGCCAACTGATTGGGAAGTGCAGCTCAAAGAGTGCCGGATAACTTTAGATGGACACATTCACCCTATTGGTCTGCCGATTGGTTGATTCGGGACTATGCTTAAAATATGAGTCCTAATGCGTTGTGTGGTAAATTTAAAGGGCTGGTCTATGTCTCGATCCCCAAATTCACATAGACAAACCTTCCCCAGGCGTTGTTTAAGCCTCAGGTCGACTCACGTTCCCGCTCAAGGCATCGGAACCCCTTTAGGAGAACCCATCGACGGGCCCCCCCAACAATGACATTTAGATTTCCGATTTGAGATGCGCCAAATGGCAATCTTGCTTTGGTTTCCCTTTAAACACCCCAAAACGGGAAACTGGCGCCCTCAAAACAAGTTTTGTCAGCTTCCTTTTGCGTGGGCTTCCCCCTAACCCAAAACCACCCAAATTCCAACTTTGGTTCTCACAATGTCCCGGAGAAAAAACGGATCAACGGATCAACGGATCCGCCGGCCTCGTTGGGCTTGCGGTTCATCACCGCCATCATGGCTTCCCAGGCCGCCGCGTCGTCGCCCTCAAAGGCGGCCGGCGCCGGCGCCGCCGGCGCCGGGGCTGGGGCCTCACGAGATCGGGTTGCGGGCGGGCTGGGAGAATGGGCGTCTCAAAATGAGATATGCAGCCAAACAATAAAAGTAAGAAGATATACCCTCCCTCCAACAAACATGGAAGTGGACAGAGGGGTTCCCCAAAAGGAAAGTAGTTTTCCAGCCTCCTCCTGTCAGCTTCCATGTTAGTCTGAGAGAGTGTAAGAGCAATAACAGTAGTACCAACAGTTTGTGGCTTTGCTTTGCTGTCCCTTTCTAACCAACCCCCCACAAGAAGGGTGCGTTTAAAAGAACATAGAGCACCTGAAATAGCCTCACTTTGGTGCGGTCGACCAAAGCTAGTCCATAGCAAGAAATGATTTCTTGAAAGGGTCATTTCGGTCAAACCAAAGAGCGCCAAGGCGGAAAAATGGTTTTGTCTCTTTCCATACAAGTCTCTGTAAAGGGGTTTGTCTCTTTGTTTGACGGTACCCCTTTTTGGTGGCTTGAAAGGGAAACCAAAAGGAAAAGAAAATGAAAGGTCCATATCCTACAAAAGGACAGACCCATATGAAGGGCCAACCCCAGCTCACACACAGCCCTCCGCGGGTGCATTTCATCCGTCGCCTCGGGGGGGTCGAAGGGCTTGCGGTTCATCACCGCCATCATCGCCTCCAGGGCCGCCGCGTCGTCGTCGTCCAGGGCCGCCGCTGCCGGCGCCACGAACGGCGCCGCCGGCGCTGGGGCCTCGGGCTCAAGCAATCCTCAAGCGACGTGGGGTGGGCTCGGTGTCCCCTGGTGGAATTTGCCCAAGAGTGGAGCTGGTGAAAAGCCATGCAACTATTTGTCCTGCCAACCTCTGCGCAGAGGGCCAGGGAATAAAAAGAGATCGCCTTTTTCGGGCCTGGACTACGAATGGCCCAAAATGGGGAAAATGGACCAAAATGGGGAACCAAAAGGTCAAAAGGTCGATTCGCCTTGCGCAAGTGCGAAACGGAAAGAGAAACTCGACTGGGATTGGCAACCATTGGGTTGCCACCGGCAGTGGATAAGGGAAAAGCCGTAAGTCCACTCCCTGTTTGTTGCACATGGTTTTTTTCAGAGAGTATCTCATGTCTGTGTCAACAAATTGAAAAGCAGGGGAACTTTGTTCTTGAGCCCTTGCATAGAGACATCGGAGAAACCAGGGCAAACTTGAACAAATGGTGATTTTTGGCCAAGGTTCGTCTGTCCTCCTTCGAGCAATGGAAACTAACAACATAGTTTGGAAGGCTACCACCATCTCAAGCAGTTCCCTTGTCCAACTTTCACGATTTCGGCAAGAGGGCATTTGTGTGGTTCGCGCATGGGGCTTCAAATCTAATTCAGGACATGAAAACCATTGAAGCATTGAACCACCAGAAACATCGGCTCAGTGCAATCAACGGTGGACAGATTTAATCTCAAGTTTCCCTTCGCACAAATGCTCCAAAGGAAGGGACGCCTTCCTACATCACCAACCCAAATCGGACGAGCCATGTGAAGAAAACACCGCTCCAAGTGCCTGGACAAATTTCGTGGCCAAGTTGTCTCCCTTTCTCTTTCTCCTACGCGCCCCGCAACGCTAAAGCTGCCACCTCCGCTCGTCGCCTTTTCGCTTTCCGCGCCTCGTCAAAGGGCTTGCGGTTCATCACCGCCATCATGGCCTCCAGGGCCGCCGCGTCGTCGCCCTCGAAGGCGGCTGCCGGCGCTGCCGAAGGCGCGGCGGCGGCGTCCACGTCCTGGCGGATCCATCGGCGCGTGTCATTCAATCAGAATCCCGGCGAAACGCGAAGAAGCCCAGGTGCTTTCTCTTCAACGGCCCTGGAAACTTCCTGGAACCCTCCTTTTGGAGCCCCCCCTGAAAGCTGCCCCAAAGCACCGCATATCGCCTATCTAGGCAAAGACGGCCCCATAGCTTGCAGCTGTTTGGGGAAAACAATGAACAAACACGTGGCTCCCACCAACCCCCCCCACCTGGAGCTCTGCCTGCTGCTGCTCTGGCGCCCCCGTCATCTCCCGCATCATCGCGGCCCAGGCCCGGGCGTCTTCGTCCTCCTAGCCGTGGGTAGGTGGGTTGCGGGTAGGTGGGTCTGGGGGGTGTTTTCGGGTCGAGGAAAGGCCCCCAAAACCGGACCCGACCCACTTCTCCTCCAGGACTTGGAAATAACCATCAGGCTTTTGGGACCAGCCTCAAAAACTAGGTCCTCCAGTAGAGAGGTTAGAATAAGGGTACCCTTCTATTTTGGCAGGGGAACCCGCCCCCAAAAAAAGGGTAAAAGAGCCCTACTGGGGGACCTCGAAAAAGGCTCAGCCAAAGAATGGAAGATGGACTGAGCCGCAGGTGAGGCTTAAGCTGAAAGAAATTGCCACTCGGAAATCCAACCAACAGAAATGGGTCGCCAAAAGATCAGATCCAAGAAGAAATGGCTGGGGTCAAAAGGATTTGCTTCCAAATCAGTGGGCAACCCACCTAGTCCTTTCGTCTTTGGAAGCAAAGGTTCCGACAGGGGAAATACAATTTGCAATTTTCCATATGGCTTATATCAAAATCTCAGCTGCATCCTTCAACTCCAGCTGGTCGAAGCATAACCCGTGGGCGTTGATGCACCCAAGGCAAGCCCTGGGACACGTACAGATTAACATGGAATCCAAAAAACCACCCATTTGTAGAGAAACTCCTTCTGGGGGACCCTTCCCCTTTTGGGTTCCATGTTACTTTGTACGGGAGTGTTCAGTTTTTGAGTAAGGTGGCCAAGCAGGTTGATTCTTTGTGACCAAGACAGCCTTCCCAACAGCCCAGACACATGGGAAGCGAGACTATGACAGGTTTCGAACCCAACAACAGGGGACTTCCAAAATGTCTGCAACCAACCCCTTAGACTTGTCAAACAAACGCCCGTAACCGACCGTCTAAGGTGTGTATTTCACCATGGGATTACACTTTGGAGAAATGACCCAAATCAGCTTCCCGCAAATTGGCGGCTTGGAAATTAGGGGCAGCTTCCCATTTGGCCTCTACACCAAACCACCAAACCTCCAAACCAAATCCAACGTTGCCTGACCAAAGGCAAGGCACAAAATGACTTCAAGGGACTTTGGGCCATAGGAACAATAGATGGCCCTGGTAGTTGATTGAGACCACCAGGTAAACCAGGAATCAACCAAAAAAGACACCCTAGGTCCTCCAGATTTGAGAGGTTAGAATAAGTTGGTACCCGATTTTTTGCTCTAGTCTATTTTGGTAGGGGAACCCTCCCCCAAAAGGGGTTAAAAAGGGCACCTAGCTGAGGGACCTAGCACCCTATGCCTTCGGCCGTTGGCGAACAACCCGCCTCCGCGCTGGACTTCTGGAAGTCGGTCTGGAAGCGCTGCAGTTCGCGGCGCATCCTCACCTCAAACCGCCATGCAGCTCTTCTGCCCGGCAAAGGAAATGGGGGGAAACGAAGCCACGGCATGCCTCGAGCGTTTTTAACTTTTAGTGGTTTAAGGGAAACTCCATTAGTTGGCAAAAAGCCCACTGCAGTCCTCGAACGTGGTTGCGGGCCTCAAATGCCCCGCTAGAAGTGACGAACTGTTAGTGGGTTAATGGAAACTATCACTAGCCTAGTACGGGTGTTTGATTGCTTGAGAATTCCTTCAAGCTGGCCCGATTCTGTTTAGAATTGGTTTCGTATTTGTCTAGTAGCTTTGCTGGCGACCACCCCCCCCCTGCCCAAAAACATTTCACTGTTTGTAGGTCCAATTCGGAAAATCCACTGTGTCCCACAAAGTTAAAGTCCAGAGATCCGTTACCATAGCACGCAAGAAAGCAAAGTGAGGCCTTTAATCGGATGCCAACTTGGAGGACCTAGTTCTGGAAGACAGTTTTAGTGGTAAATAAACCATTTGGACTTTATTTGGCCAATCCACTCGATCGGAAAGTGAGAGCCCTCCTTTTGCATTTTGCCTTCAAGACGTCTTTTCTGTTGTCTCTTTGAGTAGGGGAACCCTCAAGGGGTGAGGACGGGCCGCCCCGTGCCTCCTGGGTGATGCGGATCATCTCGCTCTGGGAGACCACGTTCCGCACGATTTTCCTCTCGGCGCGGCTCCCAAATCCACTTGGCCATGGGTCGAAATCCAAATCGGTTAGCCCCCAGTGAACATCCCAATCCAACCACTCAAATAGGTTCTAACATGGGTGGTGAACTCACCTACCCCAAGATGGTACCATTGCTTTTGAACCATGGGCATTTCCTTGCCAAGACCCCCTTTCAAGACCCACCTCCAGGACGGACGGTTTGCGGAAGAAGGACATGAAATTTTCGGGGTGTGGGGAAAGAATCCTTTCCCATCAGGCAAAAGGAACCAAGTCTTTGGTTGGCTCTACATTCTGTTTAGGGATCCTTCTCTGCAAAAGCGAAGAACATGGGTAGTCAACCCGTAGATTCGTTGAATGGAAGGGTCCTTTATGCCGCAGACTTTTTCTACTCGGGGGCCTTCGGGAGGGCACCTTGACCAATTGCTTCAGGGGCTCCTTGTCATGTTCGGAGGGCCAACAGCAACTCGCAAAACCTTAGATCTGACCATCTACCTCCCCGGAAAAAAAATGGAGAAGACAAAAAATCGGCTCTTGCTTGCACTGGCAAGCAAGAGGCCCCGCCTCAGCTTCAGCATGAAGGCCTCGTTCTGGAGGTACTTCTCGACCGCCTCCGGGCCTTCGTTCCTGAGAAAATTAGCGCGCGCGCGGTCTCAGGGGAAGCAGCGGCCATTGGCAGCGGCCACGAAAACTTGGCCGGTTTTGGAGGAAACCAAAGGAAACCAAACCGATTGTCTCTTTTCCCTTGGGTGAATTTCATCAGCTCGGAGCAACTCTGGAAAATCATCTTCCCCCAGCCCGGAAGAGACAAACCTCTTATGAAAGGATCCTTCAAAGCCCAGGAGGTCCAATTCGATCCTGGGATCGGATGATCGGCTTCGGGACCTCCGGCAAGCGGCTGTAGGCCCCTTTTTTATGTGGGGGGGTGGGGGTGAACCCAGAGCATGGTCAGGTCCGCGGAACGTGACTGAATTCTGCCATTTAGGTTTCATTCCGATCCCACCAACCTAGGGGATGGTGCCATCTATGTTCACGCAACTGATGGAGATCTCATCACGGTCCCCAAAAGGAGATTCCGGACCAAATGGGTGGCGCGTGGCTTCGCGTTTCACTTTGCAGGGAAACTGCCCAAAGGTGTAGAAATTCTCTTCGAGGCACCCTCACGCACACTAACATGGAACCCAGAAGGGTGACGACTGTTGCTGGCGTTGCTGTTGCTCCCGTTCAAAAGTCAAATTTTCTACTTCTGGAGCTTGGCATAAAGGGCACTTGTCAATTTTTGAGCCTTGCATTTTGCTCATGGTTTAGGAACCCGGAGGTCCAAGTGCTCAGTCCCAGTTTGGGCGTACCCCAAATCCAGCAGCCATTCAGTGGGGGATTCCCCTCCCACTGAAGGGTTCTGCAACAAGCCCATGTTTGTTGGCCCAAATTGGGCGCGCAGGTCCCTTTTGCCGGATTCCCTGAAAACGGACAAGCCTGGCATCCCAAACGAATCAACGGCAGTTTTTGGGCACCACCTGTATCCCTCCGCTTCTCCGCTTAGAGCAAATTCCGGGATTTTCTTCGAGCGAGCGGCTTCAAGTCATCGACCAGGGCCCGGATATCCAGATCCCACCGCACAGCCTCGGAATGGCTACGGCTCATCCCAAGATTGGCTGCCATTTGCTTAAGGCCCCTGGAAAAACAAAAAACAGTAGTGATAGATTCGCTTTAAAACCAACAGGGGGCAACAAAAACAAAACATATTCTTAAGCAAATGGAAGTTGGTCGCGCGGGGGAACCGCACGGTACAACAGAAGCAACATGTACAATGGCAAACTGCAGAGAGAACAGTCGGCATGAAGGGATGGTCATCGCCAGAGCCGACCAAGCGAGCAAGGCTCGGGAAACCACTAAACCACTGCGCCGCCAATTGGGGATTCACCCAAGTGCATAGGGTGGGTCTTGTCTTTGCGGTCACCGTCTGTGCGGTTGCTTCGGGAAGCCAAGACTTGGACAACTGAGATAAGCATCGGAGCTTAAAATCTCAGCTTTCCGCCTTCGGACATTTTCGCGCGCTTGGAAACTTCACGGCACCCCCACCCACCCCACCCCACCCCCCGTAGGCAGACAGTTGACTGTCGGTTGTGTTTGTCAGTTTCTGCCATAAACTTGCAAGTTCATAAGGCTCCAAGTTGGAGCCCTCCTTGAAATCCAAGTCCAAGCAAACCACCAAATGCAAGGGTCCTTACAGAAGTGTACAAATAGATTACATACACACATCAATATCTGAAGAGAAGTGTACACACAAATCAACCCTATAGATACGCAAATAAGAAACACACGCTGTCTGGAGCTGAAAGAAGTTCCTTTTCCAATGTCCAATTTGTTTGATCCGTGTTTTGCAGTACTACCGATCTTATGCGCATCCATACCATCCCCAGTCAAACATCACCCTGCGCAGAGAAACATACTATGGACACCAACCATGTTCGGCCCTAATTTGGAGGTTTCCAAGCACCATTCCCAAATTGGTTTGCAGTAAAAGCACCATCCATCTCATGCGCATTTGATTTAACAAAAATCCCTGACAGTCTGATCCTTTGAAGTAAACATACCACGCATGCCAAACCATCCCCGGTCAAACATCACCCTGCGTAGAGAAACCATACGGACACCAACCATGTTTGGCCCCTTTTTCTGTTGGGTTTCCAAGCACCAGGTGGTGTCCAACCCCAAATTCAAAAAACCTACAAACCATCGTATATCTAATCCAATGCCCTGGAAGAAGTCAACCGGCTTGTCAACCCTTTTCCATTTACACTTGTTCATGCCACCTTTGGATGTTGGATACCCAAAAAAGGACCCCTAGGTTTACTCACTTGCCCCTCAGGGACCTGGAAATCCAGGATGATCAGCTTGGTGGACCTTTGGATCAAAAGGGTAAACCACATACAGTCATAGGTCGATTCTCTTTGGCCCAGTGGACCCGTTGGACCCTTGCCGAACCCCTTGCCGAAGGGCCCACATCAGCACGGGGCCAGGTGGTGGCAGAGCCACCAACTGCTCCAGCGTGGGCACCAAGGTGGACTCGGAACACACAGATTCAAGGCCGCAAACATCCATGGTTTCCACTAGCCCCGAACAACGACACCGCCAATGTGAATTGGGGTCTATACTCTTTACATAGTGGCTATATCGTGGCTGCATATCCATCTTGGGGGAAGTGGTTTAGGGGTACTGGAAACCATCTTAGAAAACAAGTACAGGCTCCAAACCGTTCTATGAGCAGTTTGGAGCCGGTTTGCTGCACATGATCTGAGTCGCCTTTTGGCAAGTGGCCCTTGGGCTGTGTTGGGCATCGTGTCCGCACTTGCCAACTTGGAATGGGAGCCTTGAAAGGATTGCTTTCTGGCTTGGTTTCCCGTCCGAAGCCCAATGCCAATCAATCCCCAAAAGAATGCTTGGTTCCTCCTCTGAGCCGGCGTTTCTCCAAATCAGCCAAAAGGGGGTTCGGACTGGTTCAGCCAAGTATATCCAAAGCTGTCCCTTTGCAATGATCGGAATCTGTATGAGCTTCCTAAAAGGGTTGTTTTGGAGATGTGCGCCAAAAAAAACGAGGATGCCCTTGAAAAGACAACAAATGATGTGCGACACTCTCAATTGTCAACAACCCGTCGGGGCATTGGGGTGCACACTGCAAACTGCCGGGAATGCTGCAGGCCCTTGACACGATGTGTCGTGCGGGGTTTGGCTTTTGGCCTCCTTTCCGGGATTTTCAAGAGGCCCCCTAGAAGTGCAGCACCCGGTCCATGTACGCTGACGGGAGCAAGGTCAAAACATGACAGAAATGCCCGCGGACAGAAATGTGTGTGAGTGTGAGTGCCATGTCGGCCAGCGTCAGACTCCCCCCGTGTTGACTCCCCCCGTGTTGTGGGAACTTTGGTGAGTCCCACCATGTCCCTCCCAAATTCACCATGAATTGCTGGATAGCCTCACCGAACCTGACATGATGAAAGTTCAGTACTGGAAATCGAGCGACTGCATTCTGTGCGGCTAAGGCTCTGAAAATGCCGCCTGGCCGAGGATTGCAACAGCGAGTCCATTCGGCCGTAACTCATAACCCACACATACAAAAAATACACACACACACAAACACACACACACAGACACACACAGACACACACAGACACACACACACACACACACAAATACACAAATACACAAATACACAAGTACACAAGTACACAAATACACAAATACACAAATACACAAATACACAAATACACAAATACACAAATACACAAATACACAAATACACACATACACACATACACACATACACAAATACACAAATACACAAATACACAAATACGCAAATACGCAAATACACAAATACACAAATACACAAACACACAAACACACAAACACACAAACACACAAATACACAAACACACAAAAACAAAACAGAGAAAGAGAGAGAGAGAGAAAGAGAAAAAGAGAGAGAGAGAGAGAGAGAGAGAGAGAGCGAGAGTGATAGAAAATAAAAACATCAATAAATACATAAGTAAATAGACAAATAAACAAAGAAAGAAAGAAAGCAAGAAGAAACAAAGGAAGGAAGGAAGGAAGGAAGAAAGAAAGAAAGAAAGAAAAAAAGAAAGAAAGAAAGAAAGAAAGAAGGGGCGAAAGAGAGAGACGCGTACGAACACACACACACACACACGTACACACACACACACACACACACACACACACACACACACACACACACACACACACACGCACCATGCAGGCCTCAAGAGAGATCTCGTGGCCGTCATTTCCGTTTCACTCTCCGAGCATCTCACTGCTAAGGCCAAACCTTCGAAGCTTTGAAATGGCCGGCTCACCAATCTCATTTGACAAACGGATTCTGTGAATCAGGCAGGCGATTTCCACAGAAAATGGGCCCACCCTCACGCAGTCTGCGAACCCGAGTCTGGTCGTACTGATACCCGGCACAAAGTGAACCTGCGTCATTTGCGGGGTCTGATTAGAATGGAGCCCTTTTTGCAATTGCTTCAAAGGGAAGCCCATTTTAGCATGTCCCCGATGTTGAGGCAAACCCATTGGCAAACCGAAAAGGGCAAGCCCAAATCAAAACGCAAGCGCCCCTCCTTGTTGCTTGATCTTTAAGGGAATCTCCTTCTCCAGAAAAGAAAAGCCATTTGAGGAGCAAAGGCCGTGCCTTGGCACGCCAGTGAGAGCAGGCCCGGAAGAGGTTGTAGAGCAGCAGCAGCGCGATGATGGATAACTGCAGACCGATGGAGATGATCATCAGATCGTGACCTTGCGATCCAATGGGGTTGTTCGTTGACCAGCTCTCAATGCCCTCCCACTCACCAATGGAAGGTAGCGGAGTCCCCTTAAAATGGTTGGATCCTGGCTTGATCTCGTTTCCGGTGTTGTTTTACTTCCCTTTCCAAGCACCCAAAGGAACCACCCAGCAGCATTGCAACTCCGAGGGGCACAAAGCAGGCAGTAGCGCCACGCCTTCCATGGCGCTGCCTTCCAGTAAGCGCAAGCGAATCCTCGGAGCACGTGAGTCGTAATCAAAACCCGGTATTGAAATGGTCGACCCAGAACCATGCTTCAAGAATTAAGAACGCGCATATCCGTAGCTATTTATGGTTGGGAGTGTCCCTTACTAACCTTCATCTACCCGGGTTTTGATTGTGGCTCACTTGGCGTTTCAGCTACCTGCTTCAATTCAAGTCTTTAAAAAGGCATCGGAGCTGTAAGAGTTCCGCCGTGTCCATGCACATGTGTGCTCGTTGAAAATGGGGAAAATCCCATTATCCGTAGTTCGTGGGGCTTTGCAGAGGGAAGGCACTGCCTGGCAGAAACCCCAACCAGGCGCAATTCCTGGGTCAACATGGCTTCGGATGACTCATCGTGCAAAACACCTGCCGTGAAACGATCCATCTTCACGGGTTCCCCGAATTAGGGTCCGGATCAATCCGAAGGTAACACCTGCGCTTTTGGTGCAAGGTGTGAGTCCAGTGAGTCCAGCTGGAAATGCGACGGTGAGTCAAAAAACCACATCAATCAAACAGAAAGCAACCAAGCTCAAGACCAGGGAACGCGGAAACCGCTCCCCTCTGTTGGAAATGGCTCGACACTCTTGGGGTCTGACGCAGAACAAAATGACTCTGAAAGAACCTTGTGAGGGACAGGCATTTGGGAACCACCACCCTAGCAAACCAAAACAACACACATGTGCAAAGAGATCTCTGCTTGGGCATGTCATATGTTCAAGGCATGTGGGGGTTTTGGCATTTACATGGCTTGACCTCCTATCTAATCTTGTTGGGGTTGGCCAAGCCGGTGCCCGGCCCCCGGCCAAGCCCCCGATCTAGGACTAGCTGGCGAATGGTGGGACAAAGATTGCCATTTCTCCAACAACTGTCACAGGGCAGGTTCGGTCAAAGACCAAGGTTACACCCGGCAGAAATGTCCCCCCACGATTCCGACAAGAATCAAAATCAGAAAGGGGCCACTTTGTTTTTCAAAACAAAGTTGATCAATTAACTGCAGGGATCCTGAAAGATCCAAAAACGTCGTTCTTGTTCGTTGGCGAGGCCCCATGGCACTACCGGGTGGCATTCTGCGGGCCCAACGTTTCGGGATTCCGCACCCAGCCAGCTTTGGGGAAGGATTGGCACAAGAAGCCATGTCCTTAGGTCAGAATTGAGGATTCCTGTGGATCAAAAATTGGACAGCTTTTCCATACATGTTCTCCAAGGTCTGAAGAAGACAACGTGTCCAAGGCCGACCGCGCTTGGTTGAGCGCTGGAGGTACGCCAGTAACGGGGAAACCGACAAGGACCCCTTCCCCCCAAAGCCCCTCATCCTCCGAGCGTCATGCTCATGGCTCCAATGCGGCCCGACGATCTTAAAAACTGGTCGAGCCCTTTTCGCAGGAAGGCGCGCCGTCGCTCAAGCGGCCGGGTGCCGTGAAGAACTTCATGCAAACATCTATAGGTGTCGTTTGAGGGGCAATAGATGGCCCTGGTAGATGATTAAACAGGAATCGCCATCTTTCTTTCCAAAACAACCAATAAGGACACCTATGCACACAAATGCTCCGGTTGCCCATTGCAATAGTTACGCTGGAAATAACTAATGGACCTCCAAAGTGAGCTCGCTTTACTTCGAGATGAGTTTAGGATATGTATGACAAGCCCGTCTTCAGGGTGTTTACACATTCCCAGTTCCCAGTGACCCTGGCAGAAAAGGATGTGAACCCTCTTTGGGGGGGGTTGACCATTTGTAGCACCAAACATGGGGGAAAGATGAACAACTGTGTCGTAACTTTCACGAGGCAAATGCCTTGGATCGGATGCAACGTCTGTTCTGAGTGGGTCGGCCAATTCTTAATGATATCTGAGTGCCCCACCCCCACCAACAAGCAAAACAAACCACATTTTGCATGTTCTATGGAAGATCCCAGATTCCAAAAGATGCTACCGCGTCCTTTTTTTCGATCCACCAAACCCCGCCATGGCTTGATGCTCACTTGAAGCAAATAGTGGGATACACCTTGGTGACATTGAGTAGAGACAAGACAGCAACCTCAGCTTCCCCCCCCCTCCACCACAAACAATGCGTCTGATTCCGAAACATTTTGGTGCCCCCCCCCCAAAGACAAACGAAAGAAAGAAAGAACACACAAAAGGCAATATGTCTGATCCATGTTAAGTTCACCTTATTATGTATAATATCCTATATGGAACTCCAAAAAGATCCCAGACGAACTTCAGCTTGGGCCAGTTCGGTCCTCAGGGCACAGCTCCATGCCAATCATCCCGTCTCTCGCGGGGGGGCTTCCTCCCCTGAAAATGTGTGTGTGTGTGTGTGCGTATTTTCAAGGTTGGACCCCCCCAAAATGGTGGATGTCCTTTTGGTGTCGCTTGACAACCACCACAACCGGGGTGCCCTCAAAAAAAGCCACCCTCAAATAGCCAGCAAGACCGATTTTTCACTCTCCTGCGCGGATCTTTTCGCTGTTTTCACTGCCGATTCTCACTCCGGCGCGCGATGCTTCCTTTCAACACACACTGAGCAGTGAGGGAGATTCTACCGTCTCAGGTCTTTGTGCGGTGTTTCCGTCAGAACCACCCACAGCTTCTTTTTGGCGTGCCTGCCCGGCACCGAAAAATCCCCGAACCCGGCCAGACTTTCTCAGGCCGCACGTCGCGAGCGGCGGATTCTCCAGGAATACGGGCGGTCCTACGCCCGAATCTGAACCGGGGCTGATTCATGTCTTGCGGTTCATTGCAACGTACGGAACGTTTTACCTTTTTCGCTTTTGTGTTTTGCAGATGTATGGAGGGAAATCATGCATTCGTGGGATTCAAGACCCCCATGGTAAGCCCAATGCCTGGGGGAAAAAAGAAAGAGAAAAAGAAAAAAAACACGACATCATCCGCCCAGGAAACGGCAGCCTTGTGAATAGATGAAGTCTTGGTCCGATTGAAGGAAGCTCACCCAAGTAGATGGAAGTTAGATTGTTGCTCGCCATCCGTCAACAAAATGTCCTAGGGACGAATGCAGGCTCATACCAGTGGGTGAGGGTTGGCCAAATTGATCTGCAAACAATGGCCGTAAACACTGCAAACCCAAGACTCGAATTTCGTTGATCCTATCTGTCGTTTGAGATCTTGATACCATTCCCACCAAAACAATCAAACCTGAAACAGAACCTTTGGTACTGCGGAACAGTGAATACTTATTCGTTCTTCGGCTCCCAAGCGGCATTGAAACGCAACATGCAAAGAAAAACCGGTGCGTCGCCAGGGAAGGGTCGCTCGCTGCGACCTGAACTTAATTGGCCCCAGTAAGCCTCTGGCTCTTCAAGCCAATTCTTTCGGAAGGAGAGGGGGCTACCCATGAGAACTGGAGCTGACTCGCTGCCTGAAAACCCGCCGGCGACGCAGCCCTCACCGGACCTAGCCAGGCAGTGGACCTGTTTGCTCTAACGGTGCTGAATGGGCGGCAAATTTTCCCAGGCGGAAAGTTCTTCATTGGGCGCATCTAAGACCTGCAAGCGAGCCACTGGGCCAGTCATCTTCCAAAAAAGAGGTGCTTTCGGCACGAGCCTGTGCCCAGGCAATGGGTAAGTTGGGGTAAACAAGCCACAAAAGGTTCCCCAAAAGCAAGCCAATCCCCGGTCCCAAAGATCAGGGTTTCCCACACACCAGAGAACGACAACCAAAAGGGAAAACACCAAACAAGAAAGTAAATACCCGCAACCTTGACCGACGATGAACCGCACGGGCGATCCCCACCAATCTGCCCCGGGCCGATGTCTCTTTCTCCACCGACACGAAGGTGATCGACGCGGGGACCCGGCGACGCTCATCCGAGGCGCGACGGATCCACAATCTTGAGCCAAAGTGGCACCGGATAGTTGCTATCGCAACATGCCGGTGGTCACCTGAAATACATGGCTAATCACACCCCCCTCACGAGGAGCCCGACGGGTGGAGCGTGCCATTTACTGATAGGATTTAACTGCTCGCATGCGTCCGCAAACAGCTGGACACTACCGCCGTCAGCGGTGGAGCAAACCCACAAAGGCAGTTGCGCGACATCCCGGGCATTAAATTCCCGCCACCACCCCGAATTAATCGGGGTAACGCTGTCCAACACACCTCGTGCAAGAGTCCACATGGCGGCACTAGGTCACAACTGTTTGCATCAACAATGCAAGTAGTTCAATTCTTATCAGAGAATCAGAAGCCATGAAACAGAGGATAACGTATGTCCATTAGTACCCTCGCCTATCGGCGAGAAGTACCCCTGACCATGCGTACCTGAAAAATACTTGAATTCCGCAAACCTGGGAGTACTCCACCAGTTTGCATCCCCTCTCACTCATACTACTTCATGATGAGCATGACCAGCAGCCGAGCAGCGGTGCGGGAGAGACATGATCTCCGCGCCTCAGCGGTTCGGAAGGGACATCATCACCTCCGCACCGCGCCAACCATCGGAGAATGGACGCAAGCCTATCGGCCGCAATCCCCGTGACTCAGCCTATCGGCTATCGTCACGTCTCCTCCGGTCACGTCCGCCCCGCGCACGGTCCCTGTAACGATCCCTCTCGGATCTCCTGCGATCATCTCGTCTTCAATCTCGCTCTTGATCAAGCGAATCATCACCACGACGATTTCGAACATCGTCCCTCCTTCGGTCTCGCTCTTCGTCACGCCGCGGTCGATATCTGCGCCTTCTCGATTCTCGGGAATCCCTGGCGTCCAGAGTCCTAACGGACCTCCGAGAAGGAGTACGGGAAACATCCGAATCCCGACGTCCTCTCCCGAGGCGAGAGTTCGTCACGATCTGGTTGAGAACCTCCAGTGCTGAAGCATTCTCACCATTCCTAGTAAAATCTCTGACCTGCCTATTTAGCACCCTATCGGATGACATCGTCAGGAAGGCATCCACCACTGAACTCTCCGGCAACACCAGGAAATGACCCTCCGCCGGGCTCGC